AATCAAGCAACTTGTATAAGCAATTAAAGATATATACAACAAGGTGCAGTGGTGTGGTGAACATATCATGCAAGTTTGGTGTCTTATTGAAAAAGGAAGGTAAGCTATGAGATATATATCGTGACCATGCATGATGCCTGCTTTCTTACACAGCATTCGTTTGCGCGCGCGACAATGCATGGGACACTCCACCGGAACCCTGGGGGCAGGCACAATCACTCAGTGCGTATGTTGTTGCCTGTTCGACCCCATTCGCTTGATCATGTGTTGCTCTGTTGACTCGTGAGGCACCCACCATCAAGCCCAGCGGCCTGGCTGCTTTGTGCATAGGCGGTGTGCGACGCTGTCATTTCACTGAACCACTTAATCCATGCAGCAAGGGAACGGCGGCTCCCCAGCAAGGGAACGGGGGCTCTCCAAACTGTTTTGGCCTGTTGTACATGCAGCTGCTGTTGCTCTGGTGAATGGGTAGGGGGACACAGCGTGCTGTTGATGCATTCTGCAGTTTTCAACCACCACGCCACCATCCACCCGCCCTCCTTGGCACTTGACAAAGCGTAGTAATGTCATTCGCCCCCCTTTGGACACTGAGCAGGCGGTACAACATATACGATGCCTGCTCACCTCCAGGATCGCGGAATGCGCTGTGGTGGCAGCAGCGAATGTTGCCCTCATGGCCAGACCTCAGCTGCTGCCAGCCGCCTGTTCCCCCCTTGAATTCAAATGATGAGGCGCAGGACCAACGTCACCACTGCCAGATAATGGTACATGGCGAGGTTGTGCCGGCACTCGCTTCCATGGGCGGGGGTGTGGCCTGGCCGCTTCGGCCCAACTTTCCGCGCCGCTGCTCGTGCTGCCTGCAACCAAAGCAGCGTGAAGCGCCCGTGTCATCAGGTGACCAGCAAGTGACAGCCAGTCCTGCGGGTTGCGTCGTATATCCGCAATAACATGGAGTTAACCTCTTTCGCCTATACATATACGCTAATAGCCAACGTATGCGTCCGCGGCAGTCCGGTCTGATCTCGCGATCAGCGCAAGCACTGCATTTAGACGGCCCGTCTGTGCACAGACGCAGCATGGCATCAAGTGCAGTACCGCCTGAGGAGGCAGCTGTAACCGTCACCAGCGACGCCGGCGCGGCCTTGCCGTCTGCCTGTGGCGCCCTGCAGCATCCTGTGCAGCATTGCAGCATGCCCAACACCTATGAACCCCCAGCAGCGTCCACCTTCGCTCTGGAGGCGCTCCCGCCCGACGTCACGCGCCGCATCCTTGGAGCTCTCGCCTGCCTCGAGCGCCCGGGCGCGCCGCAGCGGCTGCGCGCACTGCAGCCTGCCACGCTCACGTGCCGCGCATGGCGCGCAGCTGCGCGGCAGCTGGTCTGCCAACTCACATTCAAGGGCGGCCGAGCGGAAGCCTACAAGGGCCGCGATCTGAGCGCGTTCCCACAGCTGTCACGGCTGGTGTTTGAACGTGAAATTCGCGCCGGAGACGCGGCCCAGCTGCTGCTGACCCTGCCGGCCCCCCATGATCCAGCTCTGTCCGCAGCAGCCCGCACCGTCAGCGGCGGCGGAAGCGAGGCGCACAACGACAGGACAGACGGGGCACTCAGCCAGCAGCATCGCGCCAGCGCATCAGGCGGCAGCTGCTGCGGCGGCAGCCGCGGCGGCCTGCGAGACATTTCCGGTGGCGCCTCGCACCGGACGGGCTCCGCCCTCCACGTTTGCGGGCTGCCCCTCCCCCTGCCCGCCGCGCTGACCTCACTCACACGCCTGGACGTCAGCCTCTTGGCCCCTCCACCGCCGGACGACTGCACCTTGGGCCCCGCCCAGTGGCGCGCCCACGCGCCCGGCCGCCGCTTGGCGGCGGCGCTGGACGCGCTGCCGCTCTTGATTCACCTGCGCGTGCGCGACGCGCCGCCGGCGTGCGCTGAGCTGGCAGAGGCACTGCCGCGCGCGGCGAGGCTGAGGGAGCTGGTGGTGGCGCGCGAGGGGGGATTGATAAATTACCCAGCCGGTGAGTGCGTCGACAGGGTTTGGGTTTGCAGGGGCCGGGCTTGTGTTGAACGGGGAGACTATTGCACGGGCTGCCGTGAGGGGTGCTGCTGGGCTGCGGGGTTGTGCACAAGGGGCAGACAGTGCGGGGAACGTTGTGCAGGAGGAGTGGGCAGGGGGCAAGGGCTGACGGAGAGGCGGCATGCAGCAAGGGTGTCAAGGACGGTTTTTTGGGGCTCATTTCTGACCCTGTGCTTCGCCGCAGCAAAGGGGTTGCTGCGTGTTTTTGGGGGTACCGTGTGGGCTGCAAAAGGAATTGCCAGATCAGAACTAATTGGGGTTGTGGGTGCACTTTGTGTGAAAGCCAAGTGCGGCGGCGCCACCTCCCCCCATCGCTCATGTATCCGCCCCTAGCGAGTCATTGCGGCGCCGTCTCACCTGCCGTCTACCCCATCATCCCTCAGGCTGTGCCCCTCCCTGTAGGCTGGCGGCGAGCGACCTCTTTCGGGCGGGCGCCACGCAGGTGGAAGTCAGGGGGTCGGCTGGTTTCAAAACCCTGGCGTGTGCGCAGGAGGCCCTCAAGGGGAACACCTGCTGAGTCCCGCGAGGCGATTGCGCGCAGCTCTGCCGGGCGGAGCTCCACAATGCTTGTAAAGACCCTCTCTTCCACCCTTAGCCTGCCCTGTCTGGCCCCTGCCTGTCCATACATGCCATCCCTCACCAACCATTCACCTGATCCGCTCCTCACCACACCCGCAGCTCGAGTCCCTCACGGTGCCCGCAGATCTGCCGTCCGTCTTTGCCCGCGTCACCGCCCTCACCTCCCTCACCTTCGACCGCTCTTGTGGACACTCCGGCGCCCACCCCGCCTGCTGCGAGGGCCTCGGCCGCCTGGCGCGCCTGAGGCGGCTCGACGCGGGGACCCTCTATTGGCACGTCTACCTGGCCGGCAGAGGCCTGGAGCACTGCTCTCGCCTGACGCAAATCCGACTGGACAACGCCGTCAGCCGCTTGCAAGACGGCGACGGCGTGCTTGAAATCCTCGAGGGGCTCCGCTCTCTGAGATCCTTGGACGTGTCCGGCTGCCGGTTGCACGCGTCCAAGGTTGCGACGCTGGCGGCGCTCACGGAGCTCAGCGTGTCCGTCGCGCCGGCCGCGGCTGACGGGGACGCGTGGCGGCTGCCCGGCAGCTTCTCTCAGCTGTCCATTCTCGTCAGGCTCAGCCTTGACCTCTTTTTAGGCGCCAGCAGTGGCGCCGACTCTGACCCGTCCGTCGCCACCACGGGCATCTCGGTGCTGTCGTCGCTGCCGGCGCTGCGTGAATTGTCCATCGACTGGACGCCCGGCGACCGCCGCGCCGTCCCGATGCGCGAGCTGAACCTCATTACGCAGATCACGGCGCTGTCGCTGACCTCGGACGCATACGGGGAGGACCTGGCGGTGGCCGAAGCACTGCCGACTACGCTGGCGGGGCTGAGGAGCCTGAATGTGCAGGTTTGCGGCGCGAGGCTCGTCGCCTCCCCCAGGGACAGCGGTGGCAGCAGTGCGGGCGCGTCACTGGCGTCGCTCACGCGCCTTGAGGCGCGCGTTGGCTCGGGCGCCTGCGAGCTGTTGTCCCCGCGGCTGCTGCCCTCAAGCCTCCGCGCCTTGTCGCTGCGCGCCGACGACCCCGACGACGAGGCCGCGGCCGCGGCGCTGCTGGCCGCGCCCGCGCCGCCAGCGCCGGCGCTGCGGCGGCTGGAGAGCCTCGAGCTTCGCATGCTGCTGCGCGCCGCCGCGTGGCGCGTGCCCGCCTGGCTGCCCGCGCTGGCGGGTACATTGGAGTCTGTCCGACTCCCCGGCATCATCGGGCAGCTGGAGGAGATGAGATCTCGCGTCCAAGGCGATATCGCGGCACTGGATGATCTCGCGAAGATGGGGGTGCGTGAGATCAAGGTGGAGTTTGCCGTCAAGGACGCCCTCGAGGCAGCAGCCGGCCGGCCAAGGACCAGGAGCTCGTGGGTGCTGCTGCCGCCGCCGCCGCGACCGAGGGCAGAGCTTCTGGCTGCGAGCGACAAGGGCGCCGCGGCGGTCGGCGCGGCGGCGCGCGCGTTCCTGCGAGACTGGGAGCACCTGTTGGTGCTTGTTGAGTCGCGCCAATGACTGCAGGGAGGTTTCCTGAACTTGGGCAAGGTTGTTGGATATTTATATCGTTTGTATTGTGTGCAGAGTGTAAATTGTGTTCCTGCATTACGTGGGATTGAAACAACAGCTCTGATGTGGAAAAAACTTGGCGTGCTGACGCTTCTATTATTATGGCATGTCTTTGCACTGTGCAGACTCTGACTAGAAGTGAGGGAGAGACAGTGAGCTGGGCTGGTGAGCTGAGATAGTTGACGTTTATCGATGGCACATCCTCTCTGGTGCATCGTTTGAACATGTCACATCCATCCTGGCGCAACCTGTGCGCGTGCGGCAAAATCTGGGACAGCATGATGGACTTGGAACCCCGCGGGTAGCCATGATGGAGAGGGCATGAAACCCTTACTTTCCGACCAACCTCAAGTGTGTGTTGCCCACCCGAGCACTGTGTAGGCAGTGGTATGTATGCCATGCCCGGCCACCTGCAGAGCTTTGAGACCTGCAATGATGGCAGCAGCGGAGCTTGCACACGTGGCTGACCCCCTGACGGCGGTTGTCGCCTCTTCTCCCTGGGATGCCAGCAATCTGAGGAGGACAGGCAGCTGTCGTCGGCACTGCCGGATGGTCGGCTGAGAGGAACGTGTAAGCAATCGCTGCCCTTGGTGCGGGCGCGGCACCTCCGCATCGGCCCTACCTTCATTACCGCTGCCTGCAACCAACGCAGCCAGCCGGTGTCATCAGACCTGTGTCCTGAGACACCTGTGACCAGCACCTGATTGGCAGTCGCATCAGCGCCTTGTCCCGCAACATGAAACATGCTCTTCTTTGAACGTCTACATATAAACTTTATTGACGAACGCTTATGATAATTTGTCTTGGGGAGTCCCGGCTGATCTCGCAATCAAGGCATCGCAATTAAACGGCACGTGGTTGCACCAAAACAGCATGGATTCATCTGCTATACAGCTATACGAGGCGACAGCTATCGCCAGCGACGCCGACGTGGCTGTGCCGTCTCCATGCGGCGCCCTGCAGCAACGCAGCGCGCCCAAAGCCATCAACGCCCCAGCAACCACCGCCTTTACCCTGGAGGCGCTCCCGCGCGACGTGGCGCTGCAAATCCTTGGAACCCTCGCCTGCCTCATGCGCCCGGGCGCGCCGCTGCGCCTTCGCGCGCTGCAGCCTGCCGCGCTCACCTGCCGCGCATGGCGCGCAGCTGCACGGCAGCTGGTCCGCCAACTCACATTCAAGGGCAGCCCTGAGGGGGTCTGGAAGGGCCGCAGTCTCAGCGTATTTCCCCAGCTGTCGCGGCTGGTGTTTGAAATATGCATCCGAGACGAAGACGCGGCGCAGCTGCTGCTCACCCTGCCGGCCCCTGACGATCGGGCTGTTTCCGCAGCAGCCAGCGCCGTCAGCGGCAGCAGCAGTGAGGCGCAGTACGACAGGACAGACGGGGCACTCAGCCAGAAGCAGCTCGCCAGCGCATCAGGCGGCAGCTGCCGCGGCGGCAGCCGCGGCGGCCTGCGAGACATTTCCGGGGGCGCCTCGCACCGGACGGGCTCCGCCCTCCACGTTTGCGGGCTGCCCCTCCCCCTTCCCGTCGCGCTGACGTCACTCACACGCCTGGACGTCAGCCTCCTGGGACCTCGACCGCCGGATGACTGCGCCGCGGGCCCCCCTCAGCGGCGCGCCGGCGCTTGGCGGCGGTGCTGGACGCGCTGCCCCTGTTGGTGCAGCTGCGCGCGCGCGACGCGCCGCCGGCGTGCGCTGAGCTGGCAGAGGCGCTGCCGCGCGCGGCGAGGCTGAGGGAGCTGGTCGTGGGATGCAAGGAGGCAGTGAATCAAATCAAAGTCGGTGAGGGCTCTGCCAGGTTCCCGGATTGCAGGGTGCGGGCTTGTAGGAATTCATGAGGTTGTTGAGGGGCGACAGTGAGGGGCGCTGAGGCCTTGCATCGGCACGTGCCAGGGGCAGAGAGGGCGGGCAGCGGGAGGAGGGGGCAGGCGGAGGGGGCAGATGCGGAGGCGGCATGCAGCAAGGGGCCAAGGATCGGATTTTTTGGTGCGTTTCTGACGTCGTGCTTCTTCCCAGCAGAGGGGCCGGGTTGCTACGTGTTCGGGGGCGACAACTGCCGTGCGGGCTGCAAAGGAATGGCAGATCAACCCAAATTGCGGGTTTCGGCTGCGATTTGTATCTAAAGCCACGGGCTCCCCCCTCCCACTCATCAGCCTCGCCCCTGGCGGGCTGTTGCGGCAGCCCCCCACCTGCCGCCTGCTGCCCCCTCGCCCTCAGTTTGCAACCCTCCTTGCGTGGCGGCGAGCGACCTTTTTTGGGCGGGCGCCACGCAGGTGGAGGTCAGGTGTTGGCTAACCCCAAACCCTGGCGCGTGCACAGGGGGCCCTCGTTGTTCAAGGAGAACACCTGCTAAACGTCCGAGGCGATGGCGCGCAGCTGTGCAGACGGAACGTCTACATTAATTGTGACGGACTTTTTTCAAACGCTTAGCCTGCCCTGCCCTACCCCTGGCTGTCCGTGGATCGTGCCTGCCATCCCTCACCAACAATTCCCCTGACCCCGTGCCTACCAAACCCGCAGCTCGAGTCCCTCACGGTGCCTGTTCATCTGCCGTCCGTCTTTGAGCGCGTCACCGCCCTCACCTTCCTCACCTTCACCGGCAAGCACCCCAAAGATGACCCCGCCTGCTGCGCGGGCCTTGGCCGCCTGGCGCGCCTCAGGCGCCTCGACGCGCGGCCCCTGCAGTGGCGGTCCCACTCGGCGGGCGGCGGCCTGGAGCTGTGCTCTGCTTGGGCGCTGCTGCGGCTGTGATATGCCGCCGCCGGCGTGCTGGAGGTTCTCGAGGGGCCGCACCGCCGGGAATCCTTCGACAGCTTCGGCAGCCGCTTGGACGCGTCCGAGGTTCCGCAGGGTGTGCTGCCAGAGCTCACAGAGCTGAGCGTGTCCCTCCCGCCGGCCGTGGCCGCAGGGACGTTTGGCGGCTGCCGGGCAGCTTGTCGCAGCTGTCTTCGCTCGCGAGGCTCACCATCAGCCTCTTCAACTTGCGCCCCAGCACCGGCGCCAACGCTGTCCCCAACGCGGACCTGTCAGCACTATCGTCGCTGCAAGCGCTGCGCGACCTGTGGATCTACTCAGCAGTCGCAATGCCGCACACTCTGGCGATGCGCGAGCTGAACCTCCTGACCCAGATCACATCGCTGTCGCTAACCTCGGACGCCTACGGGAAGGACCTCACAGTGGCCGAAGCGCTGCCCACGCGCTGGCCGGGCTGAGGAGCCTGAGTGTGGAGATTCGCGGCGCGAGGCTCGTCGCCTCCCCCTCGGGCGGCGGCGACGGCCCGTTGGGACCAGGAGACGCCCCGCGCGGCAGCGCGGGGCTTGCGACCGCGCAGGCGGACGCGGCCGCGTCGCTGGCGTCGCTCACGCGCCTGGAGGGTCACGTCAAGTCGGGCGCCTGCGAGCTGCTGTCCCCGCGGCTGCTGCCCTCAAGCCTCCGCTGCCTGTCACTGCACACGGACAACTGCAACGACCAGGCCGCCGCCGCGGCGCTGCTGGCCGCACCCGCGCCGCCGGCCCCGGCGCTTTGCCGGCTGGAGCGCCTCGAGCTGCGTGTGCCGATGCGCGCTGCTGCGTGGCGCGTGCCCGCGTGGCTGCCCGCGCTGGCGGGAACTTTGGAGTCTGTGCGGNCTGCCCGGCATCGATCAACGGGCAGCTGGAGGAGAGGATGTCTCGTGTCCAAGGCGAGATCGCGGCGCTGGATGGTCTGGCGTCGCGCACCCCCATCCTCGCCAGACCATCCAGCGCCGCGATCTCGCCTTGGACACGACATGTCCTCTCCTCCANGCTGCCCGTTGATGCCGGGCAGAGTGCGCGAGATCAAGGTTGAATCTGCCGTCAAAGATGCACTCGAGGCGGCAGCCGGGCAGCCCCGGCCCGGGAGCCCCTGGGTGCCGCCGCCGCCGCAGCAGCAGCAACTGCAAGCAGCGCCGCTCCCTAGCGCCGAGGAAGCCGCGGCCGGCGAGGGCGCGGCAGCCGTTGGCGCGGCGGCGCGCGTGTCTCTGCGAGACTGGGGTCACCTGTTGGTGCTTGTTGAGTCGCAGCAGCAGTGACCGCGGAGTTTGATCGTCTGGGTGCATGCAGAGCGTTGTCTTTACAAATCCCTGACATCAAGGCAAGGGTTGTTGGATGTGGAGTGGTAGAGCACTGAAGTTGGTTTGTTGTGCATGAGTGTAATTGGTACTCCTGCAATACGTGGGGCGGAAGGATAAACAGGTCTGGTGTGGAGCAAGGTCAGTTTTGGCTCGGTCTGCTGTTGTGTCTTTGAACTGTGCAGACACTGACTTGGGGTGGGCAGTTGGTGATGGACATATTATGAGTCCACTTCCTGCACTGTACAAAGCACTCATTCTATGCTTCACATGTCAGCTGGGCAGTGTGGAGATGAACACTGAGCTGGAATGGTGAGCTCAGACACAGTAGTTAACGTTGATGTCATACCACTTCCTCTCGCTGGTACATCATTGTCACATGCAACAAAATCTGGGACAGCATGACAGGTTTGAAACCTCGCAGGTAGCCATGATGTGGAGGGCACATGGCATCTGCTGACCTTAACTTGCGCGCCATGCTGGGCAGCTGCAGTATGCGGCCGGAATGTTGTTGTCCGGGTGACCAAGGGCTTCAGGATAAAAACTTACAAGCCACGCAGCCACGGCTGCCAAGACCAAGGTTGCCACTAGGTCTTTTACGTAGTAATAAGGATAAAAATCCACCAAATCGGTTTGGGACGTGATTCCCAATGGGTTAATGGAACTGTATTGATGCAAAGCAGCCAGATTGTGTGGCTGTGATTCAGGTTCATTATCTTAGCCATACTGAACGTAACTTGCGTGCACTTTTTGCCAGAACCTTCCTGGTCCTCACCATCAAGCCCATCAGCCCCGCTGCTCTGCACATGGATGGGCATGCAACACCGTCACGCCTGCACTCACGTTGTTCATGACCAGGCCAGTGGCATGCGGTGGCTGTCCCAGACTTCTCTGAGTGCTTGGATATATCTTCAGCTGCTGTTGCGACGGCGAATGGTCGGGTAACCCCCTCTCCCCTTGCCCGTCCACCTGAGCACACACATGCAGTAGTACTGCAGGCAGTAGTACGTATGTGTGCCATTCCTGGCCATCTGCAGAACACACAGACCTGCTGTGATGGCAGCAGCGGAGCTGGCACACGTGGCTGACCCTGTGCCAGTGCTGACGGCAGGCGTCCCCTCTTCTCCCTGGGATGCCTGCAATCTGCTGAGGAGGACAGCAGCAGTTGCCAGCACTGCTGGGTGGTCGGCTGAGATTGGCGGCCGCTGCTGAGCATCCTGTGTCAGCACTAGCTGCCCTTGGCATGGGCACGGCCCCACCGCCTCGGCCCAACCTTTCTTGTGCTGCAGCGTCAAGCCCGTGCCATCAGGTGACCATCAGCTGACTACTTGACTGGCAGTCTTGCGAGTTGCATTAGGGCCTTGTCCGGCATCATCAAATCGCTTACGTTTTGAATTTCGAATACGTATCAAAGCTACCAGCCAACGCTGGATGCGTCCTGGACAGTCCAGTTGTGCTGATCTCGCAATCAATGCACGGGGATCAAGCAAAAGGCGCGTGTTCACAAAACGCAGCATGGATTCATCTGCTGTACAGCTGGGCGAGGCGACAGCCATCACCAGCGATGCCGGCGCGGCATTGCCGTCTCCATGCGCCGCCCTGCAGCAACGCAGCATGCAGCAACGCAGGATGCCGGACACCGATGAACACCCAGCCACCACCGCCTTTGCTCTTGAGGCGCTCCCTCCCGACCTAACCCTCCGCATATTTGAAACCCTGGCGGCGCTCACCTGCCCTGAGTGCCCGGGCACGCCGCCGCGCCTGCGAGCACTACAGCCTGCTGCACTTGTGTGCGTTGCATGGCGCGCGGCCGCGCGGCAGCTGGTCCGCCAACTCAAATTCAAGGGTGGCCGCGATGGGGCCTGGGATGCCCGCGATCTGAGCGTGTTTCCCCAGCTGTCGCGGCTAGTGTTCAAAAAATACGTCCGAGACGAAGATGCGGCCCAGCTGCTGCGCGCCCTGCCGGCCCCCGACGATCCGGCTCTATCCGCAGCAGCCAGCGCCGTCAGCGGCAGCAGCAGCCAGGCACAGAACGACAGGCCCGACGTGGTGCCCGGCGGCAAGCAGCAACGTGCCAGCGTCGCCGGCGGTGGCTGCTTCAGCGGACGCTGCGGCGGCCTGCGAGACATTTCCGGTGGCACCTCGATCCAGGTCGGCTCTGCCCTCCAAGCATACGCACTGCATCCTCCCCTCCCCGCTGCGCTGACGTCACTCACACGCCTAGACGTCAGCCTCAAGGCCCCTCGGCTACGGGACCCCTGCGCCTCCGGCCGCCATTCATGCCGCTCCGGCGTGGCCTGCTGCTGCTTGGCGGCGGCGCTGGACGCGCTGCCCCGCTTGGTGCACCTGAACCTGCGCGACTCGCCGCCGGTGTGCGCGGCGCTGGCCGCGGCGCTGCCGCGCGCAGCAAGGCTGAGGGCGCTTGTGGTGGAGCCCGGGCTTACTCCTAATCTCTCTCTGAAAGCCGGTGAGGGCTCCGGGATCTGGCCTTCAAGTTGACAGCCGTGTGGTGGATAGAGAGGTGTTTTTAAGGGCAACAGTGAGGGGTGTTGCAGGCCAGCGCGGGAGCGCGCCAGGGGCAGGTGTGCGGTTGGAGGGGGCAGGGCGTACGGCAGACGGGGAGACGGCATGCGGAAAAGAACTTGGGATCGTGTGTTTCGATGTGTGTCTGACGGGGTGGTTCGTACAAGTAAATGTCCCTCATCTGTTGTTGAGGGTCAAGGGCTGTCATGCGTGCTGCAAGGGAGACGGCAGATCAAATGCAATCGCGAGTATCAGCTTGCGCGTGTCAAAGCCAAAGGCGGCAAACCCCCTTTCCCCGCTCACCAACTCCGCTCCTGGCGGGTCGCTGCGGTGGCCCTCCACCTGCCGCTTGGCCCCTCGCCCCTCAGGCTGCCCCTCACCCCGCATGCTGGCCGCGAGCGACCTCTTCTGGGCGGGCGCCACTCAGGTAAAAGTCAGGGGGTCGGCTGATTTTGAAACGCTGGCGTGGGCCCGCAACGGGAACACTAGCCGCGGCTGAGTCTTGCAAGGCGATTGTGTATGGGTATGCGGGCCGACTGTCCACGCTGACCATGAAGACCCTCTTTCCATTGCGCAGCCTGCCCCAGCCTATCCATGCCTGCCAGTGGCGTGGCTTGCATCACCCGTCACTAATCATTATGATTCGCCCCTTACCCACGATCCCCACCACGCCCGCAGCTCGAGTCCCTGACGGTGCCCGCAGATCTGCCGTCCGTCTTTGAGTGCGTCACCGCCCTCACCTCCCTCACCCTCACCGGGTTGGTCGCCGACTCTGGCGCCCACCCTGCCTGCTATGCGGGTCTCGGCCGCCTAGCGCGCCTGACGCGGCTTGTTGCGGGGTCACTCAGCTGGCACGGCGACCCAGTAGGCGGCGGCCCAGCCCTTTGCTCTTGCCTGACACATCTCTGGCTAGTTGATGCCGGCGGCCACGGACTCGCTGGCGGCGGCGCATCTGACGTTTTCGACGGTCTCCGCTGCCTGAAATCCTTGAGCATGTGCAATAGCCGTTTGGACATGTCCAAGGTTCCAGGGCTGTCACAGCTCACAGAGCTAAGCTTGTCCTTCGCGCCGTCTGCGGCTGACGGGGACGCATGGCGGCTTCCCGGCAGCTTCTCTCGGCTGTCCGCCCTCGCCAGGCTTAACCTTGACCTATTTGGCGGCGCCAGCAGTGGCGCCGCCGTCAACCCCTCTAACGCAACTGCGGCAATCTCATCGCTGTCATCGCTGCCGGCGCTGCGGGACTTGTCCACCAACTGGACGCCCGGCAACCGGCGCGCCGTCCCGATGCGCGAGCTGAACCTCGTGACGCAGATCACGGCGCTGTCGCTATCCTCGGCCGCTCTCGGGGAGGACCTCACAGTGGCCGAAGCGCTGCCGACTGCGCTGGCGGGGCTGAGGAGCCTGAGTGTGCAGATCCACGGCGCGAGGCTCGTCGCCGCTCCCACAGACGCCGGCGGCACATTGCAAGCAGGAGACGCGCCGCGCAGCGGCACGGGGCCTGCGGCCGCTGCGCAGGCAGCGGCGGCGCCGACTGCGTCGCTGGCGTCGCTCACGCGCCTCGAGGCTCACGTCGACTCGGGCGCCTGCGCGCTGCTGTCTCCACGGCTGCTGCCCTCAAGCCTCCGCGCCCTGTCGCTGTGCGCGGACGACATTGTCGGCGAGGCCGCCGCCGCGGCGCTGCTGGCCGCGCGCGCGCCGCCGTCGCCGGCGCTGCGGCGGCTGGAGAGCCTCGAGCTGCGCATGCTGCTGCCCGCCGGCGCGTGGCGTGTGCCGGCGTGGCTTCCCGCGCTGGCGGGCACACTGGATTCTGTCCGGCTGCCCGGCATCCTCGGGCAGCTGAAAAAGAGGCGGTCTCGCGTCCAAGGCGAGGTCGCGGCGCTGGATGCTCTCGCGAGGATGGGGGTGCGTGAGATCAAGGTGGAGTTTGCGGTGCAGGACGCACTCGAGGCAGCAGCCGGTAGGCCCATGCCCAGGAGCTCCTGGGTGCCGCCGCCGCCGCCGCCAGCGCCGCAGCAATCGCTGGTTGCGCCGCTTGCTGCAGCCGACGAGGGCGCAGCCGGCGAGGGCGCCGCGGCGGTCGGCGCGGCGGCGCGCGCGTTCCTGCGAGACTGGGGCCACCTGTTGGTGCCTGTGAATCTTCTGCAGTGAGCGCGGAGCTCAATTGTCTGGGTGCAGGCAAAGCGTAGTGTCGACCTGCAAATCCATTACCTTCAGGCAAGGGTGGTTGGATGTTTATGGTTGACAAAGGGGGTCTTTTTGCAGGAGTGTAATCATCGCTGTTGGGCCTTTGCACTGTGCAGACTCTGGCTTGGAGTGAGTGGTAGGTGATACACATTTTAAGCACTGTACACAGAACTCTTTCTGTGCAACACCTGTAGAGATTGACGGCGAGCTGACTTTGTGCGCTAAGCTAGTTGAAGTTGATGTCACATCCTCCCTGGTGCCTCCTTTGAACATGTCACATCCATCCTGGCACAACCTGTGCGCGTGCGACAACATCTGGGACAGCATGATGGACTTGGAACCCCGCGGATAGCCATGATCGATGTAGAGGGCATGAGGCGCTTCCTCTGACCAACATCAACTGCGTTTTGCCTGCCTGAGCACTGTTTGGGCAGTGGTATGTTTGCCATTCCCGGCCACCTGCAGTGCGGTGAGACCTGCAATTATGGCAGCAGCGGAGCTTGCACACGTGGCTGCCCCCTGCCAGCGCTGACGACGGTTGTTGCCTCATCTCCCTTGGATGCAAGCTCCTGGGATGCAAGCTCTGAGGAGGACAGGCAGCTGTCGTCGGCACGGCCGGATGGTCGGCTGAGAAGAACGTGTCAGCAATCCCTGCTCTTGGTGCGGGCGCCGCCCCTGTGCATCGGCCTTGCCGCTGCATGCCACCAACACAGCCTGAGCCAGCCAATGTCATCAGGTGACCAGCAACTGACTGGCAGTCCTGCGAGTTGCATCAGCGCCTGGTCCCGCAACATAGAGCAGGCGCTGTGAAAATTGTCAACGTGTAAAGGCCATCAACCAATGCTCTTTGGTTCGCCTCGCAGGGCAGTCCCGGCTGATCTCGCGATCGAGGCCTCGCGATCAAACGGCACGTGGTTGCCCCAACACAGCATGGATTCGCCTGCTGCACCTCTTGACGAGGCGACAGCCATCACCAGCGACGCCCAGGCGGCGTTGTCTCCTCCATGCGGCGCCCTGCAGCAACGCAGCGTGCCCAGCGCCGGCGACGCCCCAGCGACCACCGCCTTTGCTCTGGAGGCGCTCCCGCCCGACGTGGCGCGCCGCATCCTTGGAACCCTCGCCTGCCCAGAATACCCGGGCGCCCCCCAGCGCCTGCGCGCGCTGCAGCCTGCCGCGCTCACATGCCACACATGGCGCGGGGCGGCGCGGCAGTTGGTCCGCCAACTCACATTCAAGGGCAGCTCTGAGGGGGCTGGCGGCCGCAATCTCAGCGTCTTTCCCGAGCTGTCGCGGCTGGTGTTGAAAACATTCCCCCGAGACGAAGATGCGGCCCAGCTACTGCTCACCCTGGCGGTCCCCGATGATCCGGCACTGTCCGCAGCAGCCAGCGCCGTCAGTGGCAGCGGCAGCCAGACGCAGGGCGACAGGCCCGACGGGGTGCCCGGCCAGCAGCGACGTGCCAGCGTCGCCGGCGGTGGCTGCTTCAGCGGCCGCTGCGGCGGCCTGCAAGACATCTGCGGTGGCACCTCGATCCAGGTCGGCTCAGGCCTGAGCATTTTGGCGCTGCCCCTGCCCCTCCCAGCCGCGCTGACGTCACTCACACGCCTCTCCGTCAGCCTCCTGCCGGCGAACTGCACCTCAGGGCCCCCTAAGCGGGGCGCCGGTGCGCCCGGCCGTCGGTTAGCGGCGGCGCTGGACGCGCTGCCCCTCCTTGTGCATTTGAACTTGCGCGACGCGCCGCTGGTGTGCGCTGAGCTGGCGGAGGCGCTGCCGCGCGCTGCGCGACTGAGGGAGCTTGTGGTGGGATGCGAGGACAATTTCGACTTCTTTGAAGCGGGTGAGAGCTATGATATTTGGGTTTGCAGGTGACGGGCATGTCATGACTCTTGACAATTCCCAAATGGGGATTGGGAAGTTTCCTGGGGCGCAGAGTGAGGGGTGTTGTGGGCCTGCACAGGAGCACGCCAAGGCCAGGTGTGTGGGTGGACGGGGCAGGGGGGATGGCAGGTGAGCAAACGGCACGCAGGAAGGGTGATGGGGTCGTGCAGATCTGATGTTTTGTTGCGTTTCTGATGGGGTGCTTCGCCTGGGTGGGGGCTCCCCATCTGCTGTGGAGGGCCGAGTGCTACCGTGCAGGCTGCGAGGGAGATGGCAGATCAAATGCGCTCGCCAGCATCGGCTGCGCATGTCGATAGGCAAGGGCGGCAGAGCGACCTTCCCAGCTCACCGATCCCGCCCCTGGCGGGTCATGGCGGCGGCCATCCACCTGACCCCGCCCCATCGCCCCTCAGGCCCCTCGCCACCCAAGCCGCCGGCGAGCAAACTCTTTTGGGCGGGCGCCACGCAGGTGCAAGTCAGGCAGTTGGGCTGGTTTCAAAACCCTCGCGTGTGCGCAGAGGACTGGCAACAAGAACACCCACTAAGCCTTGTCATGCGATTGCGTCCAGCTGTGCGGGCCAATCGTTTGCCCTTCATTGTGCAATTGCTCCTCTTAGCCTGCCCCGCCCCACCCCTGCATGTTGTCCGATTGTGCCCCTCACCATTGTTCCACTAATCCTACCTACAACACCCGCAGCTCGAGTCCCTGACGGTGCCCCTTGGCCTGCCGTCCGTCTTCAAGCGCGTCACCTCCCTCACGTCCCTCACCTTCGCCGGCGGATGGGACTTCCTGGGCTTCAACCGCGCCGGCTGCGAGAACCTCAGTTGCCTAGCGCGCCTGAGGCGGCTTGACGCGCGGCCCCTGTACTGGAACTTTGCCTTGAAGGGGTGTGACCTGGCCCCATGCTCTTGCCTGACGCAGCTCCAGGTGACAAATGACGGCAGCCACGGGCGCGACGGCGGCGGCGCGCTTGAAGACTTTGATGGTCTCCGCCGCCTGAAATCTTTGGACGTGCTCGGCTGTTTGGATATGTCCAAGGTTCCCCGGCTCCCGGAGCTCACAGCGCTGGGCCTGCTTCCCAGGGAAGCAGGCGTCAGGGAGATCTTGGCAGAATCCCAGCAGCTTCTCGCAGCTGTCCGCGCTCGCCAAGCTCACCATCTGTTTCTCCTACGGCCCCAGGGGCGCCGACGCCAGTTCCGCCGCCACCGCGGCCGACTTGTCAGCGCTGTCGTCGCTGCCGGCGCTGCGCGACCTGTGGATCAAGTCGACGGCCAGCGAGCGGCGCTTTGTTCCGATGCATGACCTGAACCTCCTGACCCAGATCACGGCGCTGTCGCTAACCGCGGACGCACATGGAGAGGACCTCACAGTGGCCGAAGCGCTGCCCACCGCGCTGGCGGGGCTGAGGAGCCTGAGTGTGCAGATGTGCGGCGCAAGGCTCGTCGCCGGCCCCACAGACTGCGGCGGCGGCCTCTTGGGAACTGGAGAAGCGCCGAGTGGCAGTGCGGGGCCGTCGCTGGCGTCGCTCACACGCCTTGAGGCGCGTTTTGGGTCGGGCGCCTGCGAGCTGCTGTCCCCGCGACTGCTGCCTGCCGGCCTACGCTGCCTGACGCTGCGCGCCGACAACCCCAACGATGAGGCGGCCGCCATGGCACTGCTGGCCGCGCCCGCGCCGCCAGCCCCGGCGTTGCGCCGGCTGGAGAGCCTCGAGCTATGCACGCGTCTGCGCGCCACCGCCTGGCGCGTCCCCGCGTGGCTGCCCGCGCTGGCGGGCACACTGGAGACTGTCCGGCGGCCCGGCATCATCGGGCAGCGAGAGGAGATGCGGTCTCGCGTCCAAGGCGAGATCGCGGCGCTGGATGCTCTCGCGAGGATGGGGGTGCGTGAGATCAAGGTGGAGTTTGCAATCAAGGACGCGCTCGAGGCAGCAGCCGGCCAGCCAGGGCCCACGGGCTCCTCTGTGCCGCCGCCGCCACCGCCGCGGCCGAAGGCACGGCTTCTGGCTGCGACCGACGAGGGTGCGGCGGCGGTGGGCGCGGCGGCGCGTGCGTTCCTGCGAGTCTGGGGTCACTTGTTGGTGCTTGTTGAGTCGTGGCAGTGACCACGCAGCTTGAATGCCTGGGTGCCTGTGTAGCATTGTGTAGACATACAAACCCCTGACATCCAGGCAAGGGTTCTAGGATGTTCATGACTACTACCAAAGAAGTTTTGTGCAGGGGTGTAATGGGTGCTCCTGCATGTATGTGGAATGAAAGGATAAACAGCTGTGATGTGGAACAAGCAAGGTCAGCGCTTGGTGTGCTGACACGTGTCTGTTGCCTGTGCACAGGGCAGACCCTGACTTTGAGTGAATGCTATAGCTAGCGGAGCTTGCTCACGTGGCTGACCCTCTGCCAGTGCTGACGACAGTCGTCTCCTCTTCAAAAGTTTCCCTGGGATGCAAGCAATCTGATGAGGTGGATAGGCAGCTGTCGTCGGCACTGCCGGATGGTCGGCTGCGAAGAACACGTCAGCAATTGCTGCCCTTGATGCGGGCACGGCCCCTACGCATCGGCCCAGCCTTCATTACCGCTGCATGCAACCAACGCAGCCTGAGCTACCCAATATCATCAGGTGACCAGCAATTGACTGGCAGTCCTGCGAGTCACATCAGCGCCTTGTCCCGCAACATAGAACAGCAGGCGCTGTGAAAACTGTCAACGTGTAAAGGCCATCAACCAATGCTCTTTGTTTCGCCTCGCAGGGCAGTCCCGGCTGATCTCGCGATCGAGGCCTCGCGATCAAATGGCACGTGGTTGCACCAACACAGCATGGATTTGCCTGCTGCACCTCTGGACGAGGGGACAGCCATCACCAGCGACGCCAGCGCGGCCTTGCCGTCTCCATTCGGCGCCCTGCAGCAATGCAGCATGCCCAGCGCCGATGACACCCCAGCAGCCACCGCCTTCGTTCTGGAGGCGCTCCCGCCCGATGTGGCGCGACAAATACTTGAGATCGTCGCCTGCCCCGATTGCCCGGGCAAGCCGCGGCGGCTGCGCGCGCTGCAGCCTGCCGCGCTTGTGTGCCGCGCGTGGCGCGCAGCTGCGCGGCAGTTGGTCCGAAAACTCGTACTTGAAGGCGGCCCCGAGGCGTGCTGGGACGGCCGTGATCTCAGCACGCTCCCCCAGCTGTCACAGCTGGTGTTTAAAGGCGGCATCCAAGGCGAAGACTTGGCCTCGCTGCTGCTCACCCCGCCAGCCTGCGAGGATCCGCCTCTGTCCGCAGCAGCCGTCGGCGGCGGCAGCAGCCAGGCGCAGAACGACAAGACCCACGGGGCACCCATCCAGAACCAGCGCGGCGGCGGCGCCGGCGCCAGCTGCTTCAGCGGCAACCGCGGCGGCCTGTAAGACATCTCCAGCGGCGCCTCGCGATGGATTCGCTGCTCCATCCACGTTTTCGCGCTGCCCCTCCCCGTCCCCGCTGCGCTGACGTCACTCACACGCCTCGAAGTCAGCCTTATGGCCCGTTGGATGCTGGATGACTCCTGCGCCGCGCGTTCCCCTCAGCGGCGCGCCGCCGGCGCGCCCGGCTGCCGCTTGGCCGCGGTGTTGGACGCGCTGCCCCTCCTCGTGCACCTGCGCTTGCACGACGCGCAGCCGGTGTGCGCTGAGCTGGCAGAGGCACTGCCGCGCGCAGTGAGGCTGCGGGAGCTGGTGGTGGGATGCGCAAGGAAATTCTACAACTTCTCCGGGACCGGTGAGAGCTCTGAGGCTTGGGTTTGCAGGTGACATTGCATGTAATGGGTGGTGAAGCGTTGCCAGCTTCGAACAGTGAGGGGTGTTGCGGGCCTGCACGACAGCGCGCCGAGGGCAGGTGTGCGGATGGAGTGGCCAGGGGGGGACGGCAGATGGGTTTCGCCATCCGGCCCTCGTCCCTCAGGATTCGTACTGCACCGCGAGCTGGCGGCGAGCGAGCTCTTTTGGGTGGGCGCCACACAGGTGGATGTCAGGGATTTGACTGACTTCATACGCTGGCGTGCTCACAGAGGGCCCGCGACGGGAGCACCCTGCTGATCTTCGCAGGGCATTGCGTACAGCTGTGCGGGCCCAACATCGCCACTGATCGTACCGACCCTCTTTCCATGTGAGCCTGCCCTTTCCACACCCCCTGCCTGTCCACAAGCCTGTCCCTGCTCACCTATTAATGCCACCCCTCACCAATCACTAATCCAGCCATCTGATCCACCCCTTCCCACACCCGCAGCTCGAGTCCCTCACGGTGCCTGTTAATCTTCCGTCCGTCTTCGAGCGCGTCACCGCCCTCACGTCCCTCACCTTCACCGGCTGCCGCCTTAACGTCAACCCCGCCTGCTGCCAGGGCCTCGGTCACCTGGCGCGCCTGAGGCGGCTCGACGCGCGGCTGCTGCAGTGGCACCCCCATCCGGATGGCGACGGCCTGGGCCTCTGCTCTTGCCCGACGCAGCTCCGACAGAATGCTGGCAGGGACGTGTCCAATGTTCCGCGGCTGTCAGAGCTCACAGAGCTGAGCCTGTCCCTTCGGCAGGAAGTGGCTGCCAGGGGAGCATGGCGGCTGCCCAGCAGCTTCTCGCAGCTGTCTGCGCTCGCCACGCTCACCATCGGCCTCGCCTACCGCCACGGGGGCGCCGGCGCTAACCTCTCAAATGCCACGGGAATCTCATCGCTGTCATCGTTGCCGGCGTTGCGAGACTTGTCCATCGACGTGACGCCTGGCGACCGGCGCGCCGTCCCCATGCACGACCTGAACCGACTGACCCAGATCACGGGGCTGTTGCTAACCTCGGACGCTCACGGGGAGGACCTTGTGGTGGCCGAAGCGCTGCCCACCGCGCTGGCGGGGCTGAGAAGCCTGAGTGTGCAGATTCGCGGCGCGAGGCTTGTCGCCGCTCCCAGGGACCGCGTCGACGGCCTCTCGAGAGCCGGAGACGTGCCGGGCGACGGTGCGGGGCCGTCGCTGGCGTCGCTCACGCGCCTCGAGGTTCATGTCGGCTCGGGCGCCTGTGAGCTGCTGACCCCGCGGCTGCTGCCCTCAAGCCTCCGCTGCCTGTCGCTGCGCGCGGGCGACAGCGGCGACGAGGCCGCCGCCGCAGCGCTGCTGTGCGCCCCCACGCCGCCGGCGCCGGCGCTGCGCCGGCTGCAGAGCCTCGAGCTGCACATGCCGCTGCACGCCGCATGGCGCGTGCCCGCATGGCTGCCGGCACTGGCAGGAGCCTTGGAGTCTGTGCGGCTGCCCGGCATCATCGGGCGGCTGGGGAAGATTCGGGCTCGCGTCCAAGGCGAGATCGCGGCGCTGGATGCTGTCGCGAGGATGGGGGTGCGTGAGATCAAGGTGGAGTTTGCCGTCAAGGCGCCGCTCAAGGCGGCGGCGGCGGTGGGAGCGCGGGCGGGGGCCGCGCGCCCGCACGGGCTGCTCCGCGCCGCTTGCGGGGGCGCGGCCGGCGGCGGCGCCGCGGCGGGTGGCGCGGCGGCACGCGCGTTCCTGCGAGACTGGGGCCACCTGTTGGTGGCGGCTGAGTGGTATAACTGACTGCAGGGGGTTAGGGTTCGACTTTTCAGGTGGGTTGTCGGTCAGCGTGCATTGTGCAGGTGGTACAACGGCATTCTCGCAATCCCCTGCGCTGGCGGTTTTGACTTTGCAAAGACGGCTGACACACTCGTGAGGTGGACAGCCTGGTAATGTACGTGTGGCATACAGACTTGTCAGCGTGCACACGTGTGTGTGTGTGTGTGTGTGTGTGTGTGTGTGTGTGTGTGTG